TTCTAGGCCATAGAACAACGGTCAGAAAGGATTGACTAGGTTGACCTTTTAAAAATATTGTACATTACAMTGGATCTACTGTAATGTTTATTAATACTAGACAATAATATAGTTAATAAWTTATAATTATTTTAGTAACTATGTGAAAAATGTATGAACAATTTAATCTATTATAAATCATAATAAAATGGGCATGCACGATAGCCATAGCAACGACATGCGAGTCATTATTCGTTACATTGTTGTTGCGGCATCATACGAAAAACTCAGTCTTGTTGCTCAACTCGTACTCGATCTCCTCGTTCTTGTACATCTCCAAAAGCTAAAACGTACAGATCGAATATCTATGATTATATGAAAAAACAACAACAATAAGTCGAGTTTAAACCAGGTGATATCAAAACATACATTGTTTATCTCTTTAATTAACTCTTGCTTTTGCTTCTCRTGTTTTGCCTGCAACTTATCCTTGTCTTTAGCTTGTTTAATCTGCAATAATTGATTTTTCGCATAATATTGACAATAAAATGTATAGACATTTGCTTTGTTTTTTTTATGGAAAATTAAGCCAAATATTTTTACCTGAGCATGTTTCCTCTCGTCCATGAATTTTTTAGTATTGTTTTGTTTCTTTTCTCTTAATCGTCTGTCCTTATCGCCTTTAGTTTTTAATGTCTTATCGTTCATCACTTCTTTCATCACTTCCACTGATATTTTTGCCTGTCTGGTGTTCATCTCTTTCAAATCTCTGTAAGCAGTAAAGTGTCCAAGAATTTTTATTATAATGTCTGTGTAGTACCACTGTGAGTCAGTTGAATCATACTTTTCGTGACGAACTTCTAACTGCTTCATTTGTGCAGCTTGGAGGTTCTCCATAAGTTTTATAAGGGCATCCTGCTGTTCAGTAGCTTGCTGTTTTTGTAACGCCCATTTCTCTCGCCTGTGACGTTCAACCATTTCAGACCACTGAGTCATTTGTTCAGTCACCAATTTTTTAACACCACCATCGTTGATCACTTCAGTTTTGCTAAAATATATTAGGTATGATGTTAAAAATGATGAAATAAAAAAAACTCTTCTAATTTAATGTTACAATTTGTCACTCACTCTTTGCCTTTAACGGCTTTTTCCACAGATGTACATTGTTGTTTTTGTATAGCAGACTTTTCCTTAGCTTGTCGCTTGCGTAAAGCCTCTAATTCTTTTTCTTGCTTTCGTCTTGCTTTTTGAAACCCTTTGTCATTTCTCAGGTACTCGAGGTTTATATTTTCGAATTTCAGTTCTTCATCTATAACAGAATAGTATTATTGGAGTGTAAATATTTTAAACTAAAATAGGTTGAGATGGTTCAATTATGTTATGACATAGGAGATATKATACAGAAGCAGTGAGAAAAGGCTATAAAAATGAATGTAGAAGAAAAGATCATCTGGATCATTTGGCCGATCAACTGTAGTTTGAAATTTAGAAGGAGCAAAGGACTAAAATAATAATAAGAAAATATTTTAAGTTTTAACAATAAATTACCTTTCTTTGGTTCATCAGACTTTTTGTTTTTGCTCCCCTTTTTACCAGTCTTTTCGCCTTCTCCAGCATTACCAGCTAAAATATCTTTGGTGTTTATATCGGTTTCTTCAATACCCATTGCCTTCATTTGTTGTGCACGCTTTTCTTGAGCAGACAAAAATGCTCTTGGATCAGATAAAGCAGCCATGAAATCTAAAATTACATTAGCATTACTATTGTAATAATAGACTTATACATAACTACAATTACAATAAAACGTTAAGTGGTTCCTAATAATTAATAACATTAACATTAATAATAACACTAATAACATTCAATATTAAACATTATAATGACAGCATTTATCGTACRATAAAGAACTGTAAATACTWATTCAAATTTGAAAGAAAAAAGTATATATGAAATGTTAAACTCAAATGATGAAAGTCAATATGAATAATAAGCATATTCGCTATCTAATTGACCGAAGAACAATTGATTTTTCGAAGTATACCTCAAAAAAGAGGTAAATACTAAATAGTATGTTATACAGGGTGTCCCAAAGAGATCTGACATTCTGACAAATGAAATAACTTTTGTT